ATATAAAATTCATTATTAATTTTTCTCACCTTCGTCTTTCACTTTTAACTTTGTTATTTCGTTGATTATTTTCTCCTCATTTGTCATTACTACATCTTTCTTTTCTGTCGACATCGTCGGTACTTTCTCGACTTCTCTCTGCTGAGAAATCACAGCAGATTCTCCAGTCTGTTTAGGCAACTTTGTTTGATCCTCATTATCGGTACTTTCATCATAACTTACATCACTGCTGGATTCACTATCACTTTCACCGTGCTTCTGTTCTGGATTGTTTTTACCGGCATAAATCTCACATTCAGATCCTACAATCTTCTTAGCTTTTTCAAATGCCTCCTTCCACATTGATGCATCTAGCAAATAAATAAGATAATATGAGAATATTCTCTGTAATATTCCTTTTGTCATATTTATCATGTATCGCGTTTCTTATATAGACAAGATTTTTAATGCATCTATTCAAAACTTACTTTCGACATTTGCAAAACGTATTGCAAGCAATTCCGGCTTGAGTTGTTCGTCCGCAAAATCAGCAAGTACACTCCAGACCCATGCTCTATCACTGCCACAATTTGGTTTTAGTTCCATCCATGGAGTCACAAAATGGTTAGCACAGATCTTGAGGGTTTTGTCTCTGCGCATGACTACTCTAACTGTGTTTTTTATTTTGTGCCTTAGCAATTTGACTTCTCCTGTGCCACGCTCCTTCCATTCCGCTGGAATATTCGATGTATCATAACGATATAATTTTGCTCGCCTAAGAATGACAAAAGACATTATATGTATATTATTCTGTAAGTCTATAATGTAAAATAAATATTCTTACAATTATTTAACTTACATTTTTAACATCTCTACCTCATCTTCCTCATTGTTGGACACTTCTATTAAAGGTAAAGAAACTATAGGTTCAAAATGTACATCATTTTCAGTGTTCTCTTCATCATTGTCCTGGGACTCGCAATTGGCACCTTTCACATCAATGTGATCGCCGTTTAACTTAAAAAAAAAACAAAAAACAAAGAATTATTTTTAAAAATTCTAACTTCAAGCTCAATTACAAAATACAAGATTTAGAATATAAAAGATAAACATATGACCAAATATGCATGGAAATTAAGAGCAAAATAAAACAGATGATATCGAAAAGAAAATAAAATTTCCGTCTTTCATGCATTTTATATTTTATCTCGAAAGACACAAACACATAACCTATCGCTCTCGTAATGTAATGATGTAATCTTGATCGGTAACAAATAAATTAAGATCAACGTATTAATTTAATTAAAAAATAAGAAAAACCATGAAAGAGGAAAGAACATTTCGTCAAAATATATGTACCACGTTCTCCGGCATGTCTTATCGGCGTTGGCTAAAAAACAACAGAACTAACAATCGTCACAATTTACACCAGTGGTAGTTTTGTGATGTATAAAAAAATCGTTGATCCCAAATCTCTCGTGGGATTTTTCCACGCGTGCGTAGTATGTGTTCTATTCTATTCGGAATGATATTGGCAGCGCAGGCAGCGCCGAACGTTAACGCATCGCGTCCCCGAAGCAGAAAAAAAAAAAAAAAGAAAATCACGGCTAGCTAAAGTGCGCATGCTCGAGTAATCGAGAAGCGAGCGAGCTCTCGGTCTCGGCGTGGCTGTGCGAAAGGGGAAAGACGGCGAGAAACGGTGGAAGGGAAGGGAAGGAGGCGGAAGGGAGTGGAGTGCGCGGTTATCCGGGCGGCCATTGCGAGGTACTTTGTACGTTGAAGCCGCGAGCGCGATCCCGAGTGTCGTGCGACACCCAAGCGAAGGAATCCAGGCGGATCGACAGTCATCCTCGTGATAAGGTGCTCCGTGTGAAGCCCGGGACGCGCACTAAGACTCCGGCCCGATGGCTGAGACCGACAAGTTGAACATCGACAACATCATAGCTCGGCTCTTGGAAGGTAAAACTGGTCGATGCGCTCTACTACAGCAAGGAAGAAAAAAAGGGGGGGATGGCGACGCAGCGCGGCGAAAGTCGTTTCGTTCGTCAACTCCCTCTCGTATCCTCGTCATCCTCCCGCGTTTCCTCGCGATCTTCCTCGCTATGTCTGCTCGACGATATGCCACGACGACAGATCGCCCAGCGATCCGATCTTTCCCTCTCAAGGGCACGGTAAAACACCGCCCTGAATCACAATCTTGCTACCCCCTGTCGTTACGCAATGTCCTCCGAGACCGATGATCGTATCTCTATAGATTCCCGCTCTTGCGTCGTTAGTTTGTTTACATAAAAAACGCGGTTGACCACCGCATATACATCTCGCTTTCGCCGTGATTCTGGGCGAGGTCCGTCTCTCCGTGCCATAATGAAATCCTGTTGCTGCGTATCGAGTATCTACTTTGCTTTCACGTCGATAAACGAGGATTATTCATTTTATTTATAAGTGCATTGAGCTATATCTGACGTCCAAACTGTTTGGTTCCCTGGAAAATAGGGGAACAAATATGAGAAAGAGTATATTGAGTGGATGAGGCAAGTGTGTTTATTGACAAAATTCTTATTTATGTAATGTCTTAATGAGTAACTCGTTGACTCTCAAGTGTTCAGATGTATAAGAGGATTCTTTGCAGCTTTATGTGGAATATGGATTGATTGATCTGTAATTCATATTTTAGAAAATACACGAAATGTTTATTTCTTATTCATATATACTTTTGAAGTTTTAATGGTGCTGAGAATAATAGTCAATTATTATAATGGTTGTATTTAGTATAACACTGTTCATTAAACGGCTATACATGATTGGTGTAGCTTTTAGATTTTGGATAGATGTAAGTGTAGACCAATCACAAACAGCTATTCACTGAGCAATTGTGTGTGTGTTGTACTGAATATACCTAATGATTCACAAATGCGAATATTTAATATTGATTTATTTTCTACTCTATATTTTTCTTTACCAAAAGAGTTCAATAATCATATTGAAAGATATAGAAAATATATAATAGGAATGATACAGTTGATGATATAAGATTACAATATGTTTATCGATATTATTGTCATGAAAGCATAATTTTTTCACATTTTTTTTAGTACGAGGAGCAAGACCAGGCAAAAATGTTCAGTTGACAGAAGTAGAGATTAGAGGATTGTGTCTCAAGTCACGTGAAATTTTTCTATCACAACCCATTCTTTTAGAGCTTGAAGCACCATTGAAGATATGTGGTAAGCAAAATAAATGCTATAAGTCAAAGAAGAATAATTATTTAAATTCAAGCGAAAGAGATGTTTAATAATATTGACTACTTAATGACATTATAAAACTTTTTTGCAAGGTGATATTCATGGGCAATACTACGACTTGTTGCGATTATTTGAATATGGTGGTTTCCCGCCCGAGAGCAACTATCTTTTTCTAGGAGATTATGTCGATAGAGGGAAACAATCTTTAGAAACTATCTGTCTCCTTCTTGCCTATAAGATCAAATATCCAGAAAATTTTTTTTTATTGAGAGGAAATCATGAATGTGCATCCATCAATAGGATATATGGATTTTATGATGAGTGTAACTATCTATTATGAATATAGAATATCTTCATGGTATTTTTTACATGTTTGTTACTTGTCTATATCTCTACAAATAAAATTATATTTTAGGTAAACGTCGTTACAACATTAAATTATGGAAAACGTTCACCGATTGCTTTAACTGCCTGCCAGTTGCTGCGATAGTAGACGAAAAGATTTTTTGCTGTCATGGAGGCTTGAGTCCGGATCTGCAGAGCATGGAACAGATTAGACGTATCATGAGACCGACCGATGTACCTGATCAAGGATTGCTCTGTGATTTATTATGGTCTGATCCTGATAAAGACACTATGGGTTGGGGCGAAAACGATCGTGGTGTATCGTTTACATTTGGCGCAGAAGTCGTTGCCAAATTTTTACACAAACATGACTTTGATCTTATATGTCGTGCACATCAGGTAAAAATATTTTAAATATATAGTTGATAGAATTTTTTTATGACTTTGTAAGATCTTGATGCATTCAAAATCTGAAATATCATTACTCAGGTGGTGGAAGATGGTTACGAATTCTTTGCCAAACGGCAGTTGGTGACATTATTCTCGGCTCCAAATTACTGCGGCGAATTTGACAATGCAGGTGCCATGATGTCGGTGGACGAGACTCTCATGTGCAGTTTTCAGATTTTAAAACCAGCTGATAAGAGGAAATTTACTTACGGTGGTTTGAATGCGGGACGGCCGGTGACGCCACCGCGAGGCGCAAACAACAAAAATAAGAAGAAGTGAAATCCTTAGACTTGTCTTTTCGAATGGGACGCTTAGGATTTTACAACTGCTACTTCCCGACCCACCATCTATTAAGACGCTACGTCCTTGTAAGAAAGAGTGAGAGAAAGAGAGAGAGAGAGCGAGCGAGAGAGAGAGAGAAGAGTTATAATAATAATTATTATTATAATTATATTATTATATTATTATTTTCGATTGACTACGAAGCCTGCAGAAATAGTAATAATGAATATATTTATCAGAAAATCCGGAGGGGCGTTGCTTTTCACAGAGTTTGTCGAAAGTAGTAAGTGATATAGTATGTTTGTAGTTAAATGTGTTATTGTATAAAACAAAATAGTAGAGAACTTGATCTATCGACGATAAGATTAGAAAAGATTGTGTGGGGTTGCCAACAACATTCTTAACAATTGCAAAGTTGAAAAGTAAGAAGCCAAATGGCAGCAAAAACAAAACTTTTACTGTAATTCGTCTTTCGCATTCGTAAATCTCGTAATGTGTCTTGATTCATTTTTCATCTACATTTATTCATCAGTGTTGTCAGCATCTAATTTGCCAAGAAGACAAGACCTCTTTCAATCACTTCGCGCTGTAACGAAAATCGACATGATAATTATATGTATTGCAATGTCACATACACATACATACATACATGCTGCTCTCACTTCATTTCATTATGTAAGTATGCTATTAATGAAGATATATCGATATACAAGTAATAACTAGAGCGATTGCCTAGACTTAATTCTTTAAAATATAATAGATATTTATATAGCTCGATACTTCTGTAAGTTGCACAAATTTGTAAACGACTTCTATTACATCATACGTACTTTTATAAATATACATTTATATATGAATTGTGAAATACAGAAAGAAATAGATGGTCAGAAAAAAAGACAGAAACAAATTTTGTTCAAAGCAAGTGTTGAAGCGTTTAATGAACCTTTAATGTGTACATTTTTGTCTCATGACGAACGAAAACAAGTACTTGTATTGCGATTATTATGGCAGCAAGGCTTCTCTGGATTAATTAATATCAACGACACTATATAGTATCTGTAAACGCGGGAGAATTAATCGTGTGATTAATAAATACATGCGAGCGCACATTGGTTTCACTATGATAGGCGTCTAATTATGAAATAATACAAAAAGAAAGAAGCGTGCCCATTTACGGTCGAGGATTTTCCACCTCCCGATCGAGACAGTCCTGTGTGAATCGAATCATTACTATTGTTAACATTATTCATCTTCCTCGCTTTCCACATTCATTTTATTTAGTTTCCCCACATATATCCCTATCTTCAGCCTTTCCATTAGCCAATGCACAGAGCACAGATCCATCCTCGATAATATAGAAAAGAAAAGAAAAAAAAAACAATATTTACGAAAAAAACCACGACGTGAGGATCTTACGGGATCTTGAGACCGATCATGTTAACCTCCTCTCTTCATACTTGTACACACATTAATTTCTTTTTATAAATAAAATTCACATAAAAACATCCGTCATCTCTTCAATCGATACATATATATCCATCATCCCATGGCGATTTCCAATATGTAAGATCGGACAGAATTCAATCCCGTTTATTCCAATTTATATGAGGCGAGCGTAACGTATCTCAATTTTATCCCGCGAATATCTCGTATGTATGTAAAATGTATAAGAGAAATGCGCGATCAGGCACTATATATGATACTTAGAATAATAACGCAAACGTCCGTAACGCATTCATATTCTTCACACGTCTATGTAAATATCCGCTCATCTCAAAGACACATTTATTCGAAGTTTTTTCTTATTAACCGTACTATATTTAGATAGATACGTGATCGTTCCGGCGGCTGTAATTTTATCTGCGTCGTATTAAGAGAGGTACATATATACGTACAAAAGGGCTAAGCCGATAACACCAATTATCATCTCGTCTTATTAAGCTCCTTGCGACGCACTTTCATTATCGCTCATGATCTTCGGAAGTTTAAATACAGTGTGAACGATATTGATATGATTAAATTTTGAATTGAACTTTTTACTTATTGATACGATCAATAAGTAGAAGATCTATTCTAGTTGTACCTTTTGCGTTTAAAAAATAATAAGTATATATTTTAGAGCAAAGAAAAAGAGAGAGAGTAGATTAAATTAGAAAGACATTATAGAAAACATGAAACAAACAGAAATTATAATTGATTTATGATCAGTAACGTGTATCAATCACTATCTTCTTCACGCAATTTTCTGATATATTCAAAGCGGAAAAATATATTAATTAAAAATCTTTATTATACAAGGCTTATTGTAGATGTAAATTGCAAATATAGTCAAACACAAAATTATAAAGAACTGGCCAACAAGATATTTATATCATTTGCTTTTTTAAATAATTGAGATTTATTTATTTCTTCTCTCTTTCTCTCTTTACTTATTAATAATCACATAAACATTAATAGTTGTTAATTAACAATTATATATATAAATATTTTAAT